CCGGCCCCTGCCACTACCTGCAGCTCCCCGTGTCTTTGGGGAGGGAGTTTTGTTCCCATTCAGCGCTGCCTTGGCTTCAGCTCGGTGGCAGCGGGGCCGAGCATCGCCCTTGCTGGCTGCGCAGCCGCTGCTCCAACCCCAGGCTCAGCTCGAGGAGGTTTCCGCTGGAGACGCGCAAATCTATTTACCAGTGGAGACTGGAGACATCTGAAAGTGAGGAGGTCAAATTGGCACTTAATGAGCCAATTAAGCCAGGGGAGGGAGAAACAAGACTGGAAGCAGGGAAGGCATCTCCTGGCCTGCGTGCCCCCGGCCCTCCCCGTGCTACCTGCAGCACCGGCTGAATTAAGGACTCATTAAGTGCCTGAGCAAACAAGCGCTCGCCACAGAGGTGGGGGCTGTCTCTGGGCAGGGGTACAGGGGTGGCTGGCGAGGCCAGCAGAACTGGCAGCCTGCAGGTCTGTCCCTCGGGGAAGCTGCAGGGCGAGCAGGCAGCGCTGCCCACACACAGGGCAGGTACATGGCTGGGGTCAGGTCACCTGGAGCCACAGCACCGGTGCTGGCAGCGTGCGGGCAGCCCAGGGCCCGGCCCCGGGGAGGCAGCTCCAGCCACAGCTGCTTCAGGGCGGCCGGGGCAGGGGCGCGGGGGCAGCTTTGCGGCTGGCTCAGCACCCTCTCAGGAGCAAGCAAAGCATGCAGGTGTGGGAGAAGGTGTCAGGGCTGCAGGACTGGTTTGTGGCTCAGCCACCGCATCCATGCTGTTAGGAGCAAGCAGTGAGAAAGCACAAAACCTTGCAGGAGGAGGTAGGATGGAGCACGGAGCTGAAAAAGACGGGGTTAGGAGGGACACTGGGGCTGCCCTGGCTATTTCCACTCATGGCAGGATCAGCACCACTTCCACCACGTCTAAACCGGGGTCCTGCACCCTGGTCAGACATGGCACCTGACTGCCATCATCACCATCATCATCATCAGCGTGTGGCTGGTGAGACAGCAGTGCAGCGGGGGTTAGGAGCGTGCCTGGGCTGGCAGCAGCAGCTCGAGGCTGGACTCCGCTCGAAGGCTCCCCGGCAGAGCGCGGGGCCCCGGGGAGCACGGGGGAGACCCTCAGCTGGATGGATGGGAGAAGCTTCCTCCAAGCCCCACCGCAGCTTTCAGACAGGCTCCCAGTCCGGCCACAAAGACACCAGCCGACAGCCAAGCCGTACGCTGCTAGATGAGTTCTTTTGGTGATTAATTGCTCTCACCATTAAAGACCAGTGGCTATTAAGAGGTTTTCTACTTGCTCTATTTTGGACTCCCATCTACCCACCTCGCTCTGCACTGACATAAATCAGAGCAGTTCCACTGACAGCTTTATACCAGGAGAGAATTTGTCTCCATCCTTTCATATTTTGGAAAAGAGAAGTAGCAGAAGCAAGAGAAAGAAGTGCTGCCAGCCCGGGACTGGGGAGAAGCGGTACAGGACAAGGGCAGAAGGACTGAGGCTTCGGACGGGTACAGCGGAGGGCAGGCAGCATCCTCCAGACACGACAGACCCGAGGCACCAGAGACCCAACCCAGTTTTGATCCAGCTGGGGTTTTGGTGAGTTAGAGGACAGGCCCAGGCTGGGCAGGCAGCAGGACCCCACACAGCAACAAAGCCCAGGATTTGCCACATGTGCGCTGGTCTGGCTGACCCCTGGATTAAAGACATCCCTGAAAACCAGCACCCAGTGAGGAAAAAGACAGGAGCCCCCATGTTCCACGGGATAAAGCTGCCTCAGCGCAGGAGCATCCCTCTGGCTCTGATGTCCCTGTGCGTGAAGCAGAGCGTGTGTCCTGGGCAAAGGACACAAATGAACAGCACAGGCAAGATCAGATTATGTGAAATCCCCTGCTCGCTTGACCTCCTTCACGTCCCATCTTCTATTTATATGCCTTGGGGCTGCCAGGGACAGCGCGGGTCGTCCTTGGCCCATGCTCGCAGGGCTGGGGGGCTCAGCTGTGGGGTTAGGGTTGGCCCCTGGAGCTGGCTGCCACCATATCAAGAAGAGAAGTTTGAAGGTTTTCCTCCTAACAGCCCAGCTGTGGGCTCTGCTATCCCCCCTCGCTGGAGGTGAAAAGCAAACTGAAACGCTACCTGGACTAACCTCCCCGCCGAGGGACAGGAAGGTTAAGGGGGGCTCCTCGGGCTTCAGGGCTTGGGTTTCCTCAAGAAGCAGTGATTTATTCTTTGTTTGATGCGATATCTAACGAGACGGTCCTGGCCGGGGGCCTGGGCTGGTTACGGATGCCTGCTCTGTTTGCCTTTCTCATGTTCTTCCCTCCAGCCCCTCCCCGGCGGGAGCTGCTCACCGCCTGCTCCCGGGCCGTGAGGGTTTGGGGAGGTAGAGACGCTGCTGCCATGGAGCCCGGGGTCTGGCCTCGGTCAGGTCCAGCACGGGGGGACGCAGGGCAGTGAGCACCCAAGGGAGCACAGGAGCAGCCAAAGGAGCCTGTGGGGAAGAGCCAGGTCTGTGAGGGGAGACGTCCTCCGTGGAGAGCTCTTGGAGAGGAATCAGGCCGGGGGCTTGCTGGGGCAGGGCTGAACTATGGCAAAGCAAAGGACATGCTTTGGGGAAGGGAAATGTGGAGTTGCCTTTACTGCTGCTTTCTCAGCCCCCTGACAACAGGCTGGACGCGAATCCCCCGGCCGCCAGAGGGGTTATTTTCCTAGGACCGGGAGCCAGGGCAATGGAGAGAGGGAGCGTTGGGTGCCTGTGTCGACCTCTCCCCCGATGAGGACACCCTTGTCTCACCCCACACACCGTGCTGCATGGCAAGAACAGACCCTCTGCACCTCAGGCTGGAGAAAACAGAGCCGGTAGCTTGGCATCATCTGGATTTAACCTTCCAGCTTAGTCTCCTCTGGGAAGCAGGACGTGACCTCCTCATTTCCACCGCCCAGGCACGGCTGGCAGCCGGCAGCGGCGGCACACGGCTCCGCATCTCCGGGCTGGAGCAATCAGCGCGCAGCAGGCATGCACAGACAAGTGTCAGCTGAAATTCTGCACGACTTTAAATACATTAGCAAGGCCACAAACACAGCTCCCAAGTGCTGCAGGCACAGCTGAGCCGATAAATAACCCCCAAACCCACCAGCAAGAAAATACACCCCCCCACGGGAGACAAGGCTTAGCATCACTTTCCCCCTTGTAGCTGTATAGCAGCTGAGCAGATCCACTCTCTACCTCGCTGTGTTTGAATCCAGTACCAGAAGGGTCAATTCTGTGCCACTTCTGCGGAGTCATTATATTGTCGGTTATATAAATGTCTGGGCATGCACAAAAGGCAGTGCTGATACAGTGGCTCCGACACCAGCTCTCTCCAACACCTGCTTTTCAGCTGGAGAGAAAGCCGAGCACAAGAACATCTCGAGAGCTGTCACACAGAAGGCTGCTGTCTTTCAAGCTGAATGGAGGTCTAAATAGCTCTCACTTCTGCTTTAGAATCTCATTTCTAAATGCAATTAATACTGGCACATGCATAATGAGAGACTGACGAGTGAATACAGACTCCAGCAATAAAGAAGCCAGCCCCAAGTGCTATGTAAATATTACAAATCCTCACCAGAAGCTGACCCGGGGAAGACAGCTTTCTGATGATTAAACCCAAGTGACAATATGACTGGATTCCTACATCTGTCACAATACTACCTGCTGATCCATAATGAGCTACGCTAAAAGAACTAGCTCTTGCTGCTCTTCAATGCAGATAAAATGTCTATTTGTAGAATGTAATTAATCTCTTCTTCAAAATCAGGAACCTTAGTGTCCTTGGTAACAACATGCCAGTGACTCAGAGAGCGTCTCCAGCTTTTTCTTCTGATTTTTGAGCGAGTTATTGAAAGTGACCCCAAATTCTAGCACTGAAAAGGAGCTGTGCTTCCGAAGTGGAAGAGCCAGCTGGGTACCCGGGGGTGGGGACGGGTTTTACCCACCTCTCTGGCCTCGGCGGGGCTCCTTCGGCAGCTTAAGGAGGTTCCCGGACTTGTTTCAGCCACATTCCCTAGGATGAGACGAGCTCTGTCCCAAGACCTGGTCCCCAACCCATCGAGCACAAATTCCCTTTTACCATCAGATGTAACCAGGCAGGGAATAATACTGCAGGCAGAGCAAGGGCGAGGATCACAGGATGAAGCTGCTCCCTCTTTTGCCTGGTTTCCACAGGCAATAAGCGCCATGCGATCGTGCTGCGTGTGTACATACGTGCACACATGCGTGTGGCTGCTCCCCCAGCTGGCTTCCGAGCCTGCTGGCTTATTTCGGCCAAGTTTGGCCGGGGATAGAGGTTCAGAGACATCCAGTCCCTAGCAGGTAGCGAAGGTGCAAAGCCACGAGCACTGGCAGGGCAGAGGGATGCGGGGAAGTGCTGCTGGCAGAGCGCCGGGTCCCTCTGAGGGTTGTGCTTGGGCATCACCGGCTCCTCCGGCCACCCCGCACCGGGCTGGCTGAGATGGGTGCCGAAAAGGCAAAGCTGGGCCGTCCAAAAGCACCCAAGGGCCATAGCTGCTTTCTATGAATTTTGGTGGGAAGCCACCGCTGCTGGGTGTTGCTCGCTGACCCAGTTCCCAAGGCCAGGGGAAGGATGGGCCGTGATAAAGGGCCAGTTGGAGAGAGCGGCTGATGGAGGACTTGCATGATTTATTTATTTTCTGGCAAAAAGGAGAGAAAGAATTGTTGGCTAAAATCAGCATATTCCAGGCAAAAGTGTGCTGCAGCAATGCCTCGTGGGACTTGAGCGGAGGCACTTGGTCCCCCCGCGAGGGACGTTCACCCCTGCCCTCTGCACACTGCTTTGCAGAGCCAGGGGACGGGGGAAAAGGAGGGGTTTGCTCTTCCCAAGGGCTCAGCTCCTTGATGCAAAGCCGCCCTTTCTTGCAGCAAGTCAACACCTTTCATTCAAAATGCCAAGTTAGTGAGAGGCTCTGCTCCCACCGAGGGCCAGGTTTCAGAGCAATTTGCCTGCAGGCTGCCTGGGGGCTGCAATCGGCACCGCTGCCCACAGCTCACCCCGTCTCCTCCGTCCCCAGGCACCCCGAGGGAGAGGAAGAGACCAGGAGAGAGGCTGCCTCCGACCCTCGCGCCACGTAACGCCGCTTCGGAGTAAAAGCCAGGTGGGATGTAGCAGTTATCTGGGATAGATGCCGCTTTGGGGGAATTGTGGAAAGAAAATACTAGCTTGGGGTGAAAAGCCTGGTCTTTGCCTTTCTGCCCTGCTCACAGACCCCGCGAGCACTTTAATGATGGTTTCTTCATGTTTCACCCAGGATTTATAGGTCTTTTTTTGTCTACTGGTGAGGCTGTGAAGGCCCTAGAAAAGTGGCTCACTCCGGGGAAAGGAAATCAGAGCCTGAAATGGCCAGACTGGAAGGGAAAAGCCCATTTTTCCATTGCTTTCAATAGCAGCTCAGTTCCCAGGTAAGGGCACATCCAACCCTGCCTCTGCAGCTTCCCGCCTGGATGCCGGGAGCATCTCGTAGGGACAGAGAAGGCAGCAGAGCTGGTGGTGGTCCAGCCGGGGTGGGGATGGCGTGCACGTGACGTGGGGATTTGGGACTGATGTGGCTTTGTCCCCTGCGCAGCGACCCCAGGGAGTGAGGGCCGGCCCCAGGCTGTCCATCTGCGGCTCCCGGCAAAGGTAGGGCAGCTCACACTGCTGTCTTGGCCCCGGGAGGCAACCTTGGGTGTCGAGGGTGAGGGGACGCTGGCCTGGGCTGGGGCACACGTGTGGGGTTCGGGGGGGAACTGAGGCCAGGGCTGTCTTTCCGAATCCCCCCTAGCCTACAAGGCGCTGCTGAATGCCCGCGGGCAGCTCAGGGACTCGCCCTGCTCTGCCTTCCCTTCGGCAGATCCCCCAAAGCTCATAACCTTGTCTGTCCCAGCTCTCAGCAAACGATTAACCATGACTCCTTCTCCTCCTGCAGCCCCGCTGTGCCCCGCAGCCAGCACCAAGCACATCCCGGCCTCGGCACATGCTGAAACCCCCGGCAAAACAACCCGCGACACCGACCCGCACGCTGATGGACCCACACCACGCCAGCTCGGGGGGCACCAGGGTTAGATGCTGGTGCAGAAAAGAAATTCGCCTGTCTCTAAGGCTGAGCCCTGGGGGTGGCCAGCAGCCCCACGGCGATGCCCTCTGCAAGCCATAACGCAGCCCGCAGGCACGGGGCAATCAGGCGTCCTGCTCCCGGCGGTGGGGTGCGCACACCCCCTGCAGCTTTCCCATCTATACAAATACGTTAATAAAAGACCAGTTTGCAGGCGCAGCTTGCCGTAGATGACAGCATTAGAGGTGCATCTGTTTCTGCTAAGCACCGGTCTCGTGCTGGGTTTATTTGGTCCATTTGCGGCGGGGAAGAGTTGCTTTCGGCATTCAGAGATGTCTCGTGTCTGGGAGAAGTGGGGGGGAGATATATTTTTGGCTCTACTTAGCCACAAAAATTTGGTTTTAGAATAAAGAAAAATATTCCTGTTTCCTCTTTGCTGCCAAACTGAGGCAGACGATTTCTTGTGCAAGCCTTCATTTGTTTGAGAACTCCGTGTCCTGTTGGAAAAATAAATGCTCTGATGGGAAAAGCCTATCGGTGTGTATTGATCAGTCACTGGGACCGGTGGAGCTGCAAACATCAGCTTCAACCTAATCGAGAAAGCAGTTCCCAAAGCTTTTGCCAATACACGTGAGGCAAAAGGAGACAGGTCTTTGCTTTTTTGGTGCCTGAAGTAGTTACAGAGCAGAATCCTGTCTGTGGGCACGGTTGCGCCGGCCTCCTCACGGCTGGCACGAATCTTCAGTGCCAAATACACCCGCTTTGCACCCAGACCAGGCTGTCTGCTCCTTTCTGGCGGCCAGGAGCAGGACACAGCCACGGGGGAGGAGAGCGGCTGAGCCGCGGCGGCGGGGGAGGCGCCGGGGCCGCGCCCCCCCCCCCCGCGATCTCCCCGCCC